TTTTGAATTTCAAATATGAGGAGGGAAAGTAAAGGTGCTCCTTTGATGAGGGAGTTGATTAGGGCTCCAAACGGGGAAGAGAATTAATGTAGGATAGAGAGAGGAAAGAGGGCTGGCGACATGCTTTGGGCAAGAGGGGGGCTGTAGGTGGGGATTTAAAACTTGTCTTCTTAGAATCTTAAATTAGGAAATATTATTTCAAATCAAATCCTATTTAAAATTCAAATAGATTTGATTTTAGTAACATTCCTAAAATAAACATAGTAGATTAGGAAAGAATTTTAAAATTTAAAATGAAAGGAATAAGCTTTTAATACTTTCCTAGTGTGATTTGCACCCAATATGGAAAACAATAATGTGGTAATTTGAAATTTGGAGGCTAAAGGGGAGGAGTTGTGGCTGGCGGCTAGGGTAGGTTAGGTGTCACACCCCAGTTTGACTCACCCTCTACCACGAACTGGAGTATAACAGAGAAAGATTTCAACGTCTCAAACTCCACACTTAACAACAGGAAGCATGTAATATACCTTATTGAACCTCAACATAATTAAAACAAATACAAAGCTCAACTAAAATTTTTAAAATTCATTCACATACTCAAAAGTCTTTACATCTAGCATTCAGATCTCGCTTTAGATCTCTTGCACCCCAAAACGTACTTATATCAAAAGAACGGTCACCTCTTTTTATTGTCTCAAGGGCTCCTTCCCCTTTCCTGCAGTACAACCACTGCTAATGAGCTTGGCTCAATGAAATACGCAAGCAAGTTATAAGAAATAATATTGAACCATTAAGAAATACCATAACTATGCTAACATAATTAAAACACATATTGAAATGTCATATTGAGCATGAAAGTGCCTAGTAGTATTATTTATCTTACCAAAACTATTTCACATCTTTAAATAAGTTAGAGAATGGCTATAAGCTTTTGCACCATTCAACTTTCCAATTCAAGGTTGGGTCTAATTTCCCAACTTTTAGAATGGAAGTTGTTCTCTCATTCAGGGTTGAGTCAAATTTCTCAACTTCTAGAATTAAGAGTGTATGCTTACCTCATCAGGTCTTTCTCCTTTACTTGTGCGGGCCTATCCCCCATATATAACTTATTTCACTTTTCATATAGTCATCCTTTTTAGAGCTAATGACATATGCTTTTGATGATATAGTTGCGCTTTAGCTGCTCTTCAGTTACCCTTTAGCTTCCCTTTAGGTGCCCTTTAGTTGACCTTTAGGTGCGCTTTAGGTGCCCTTTAGGTGTGCTTTAGGTGCCCTTTGCCTGCACTTTAGTTGCGCTTTTGGTGCACTTTAAGTGCGCTTTGTGTCCTTTAGGTACGCTTTTTGTGCACTTGACTAGTTTATGAATATTTACCTTTTATGCTTAAGAAATCATTCAAATTTCTAAAGATTACCCCTTACATAAACAATTTCATACATATACAACCATATTCATACAAAATAACCAAAATCAACTAGAATACATGTGATCATAAACATAATCAAGAGGAAGTGCAATAATAAAACATTTACTAATTCTTATAACCTTGTTTGGATATCTCACCTCGTGAGGAATTGGTTCTCCTAGACTCAACCTTCTTTTCCTTTTGTAAATAACATTCACTAAACTTCCTCATTCAACAGCACAACTTTTTCAAATTTGGTCACCACTGTACCAGTTCATTTCTCCATATTCTTGAATTAAGTAACCACCACCTTCAGCTATATTTTAGAAATTCCAAAATTGTAATTCAACACAAAGATTACAGAAATTGCTATCTCAGATTTTTGAAAGCTTAAAACTCCTACCTCAATTTCATTACATGATAAATCAGCTATCACGCTTGAAATTCCCACACACAACCCGCCTCTTTCAACTCCAGTTCTCCCACGGCTTGCAGAGCTTCGTCTCTTGAATGGGAAGGAAAAATAAAATGAAAGAATGGCTACTAGTGTTGCTAATATAATAATATAACCATTCCACTAAAAATGCATTCTTTATTATAATACTATATACTTAATTCCACTAAGCCACTATACATTAATGCTATCCGGTAGATGAAGTATGAGAGAGATCAGCCATTGCATGTCAAGCTAAGTGGATATGCTACAGTAACCATAAATAGGAAAATTGATTATTTGCTTTAGCAATTAAATCATTTATTTAAATTAATGCTAAGTATTATTACAGGTAATACTTTTAATTAAGTTTTTAAAACAAACTCATTTAAATGATAACATGCCTTTTACATGAATACGGATAATTATACTATAACGATCAAAATTAAAATTAAAAGCTAATACAATAATTTAACATTTCCATATATAAAAAGAAAAAATAATGGATGATTTTATTGAGAAACATTCCCACTTACTTTAACAAACTTTGGGTATTATATTAGGGTTGGGATTGGGGTTTGATGTGTGGACCGGTGGCTATGGGGAGGGGCAAGGCCTTTATGGTCGACAGCTAGGAGGAGGAGGGTGGTCTATGGGAAGGGGTTTGGGGTTCTTGGCCGACTGCTATGGAGGAGGATGGGTAGGGTTTTGGATGGTGGCTGGCTGCTATGGTGGAAGAGGAGGCTTAAAGCCGGTGGCTAGGAGGGGATTTGGCCGGCGGTTAATGGAGGAGGGGAATTAGAGAAAGAAGGTTAACCACGAGCCCGGGCGCTTCCTACTACTGGTGGGTGATCCGTTGCCCTCACCTAGAGTTCTCATCAAAGCTCTCTCTCAAAGCACGTAAGAGACAATTGTTGAAATTTCATAAAATCTTCATTCACCCTCATAAGAATAGGAGGCTATAAATAGTTCCCACATACAATAACAAAACAAAAGACAATAGTACATTCCTTGGGGTCACAAACATCTACTCCCTCAAGTGAGGGTAAAATCAGAAAAGAAACAACAATAAATCAACTGCAATTAATAACTAAAAAATAAAGCAGTGTAATCATGGCCGTCGATCGTCGGCCCCGTCTTTGGTAAACTCTCCAAGGTCGGAAGTCCTCATCAAGTATTGTAATTTTTTTTCTAATGGGGTGGAAGAGATAATATTTTATAGGAGAGATGGCCCATATTAAGGAAAAAATGAAAAGGTAATTAATCTAATTATTTTCATTCAATTTAGCATTTAAAAATTTATTTTGTATAAGAAAATAGTGGTAGGTGGGTTGCATATTGAAGGTGAAATAGTGCGGATTGTTAAGGTAGCTAATCACATGTTTGGTGACATTTACATCCAACAGAGGAGGATTAGGAGCAATGTATTGCCAAGATGGTCTTAGAGGTTTAGGAGCAACGGATTGCCAAAGGTTACGTGGCAGAATTTAATGCAGAATTTGATATACTATTTTCAGGACTTCCACACTTTCTTTACTATATATTTGCTTGGCTTTGAAATCAATTGATGACGAGCAAGGCAACACAATGATGAATATGATCAAATTTTATTTTTATGTTTATTTATTTATGATATTTTGATTTGTTGAGGAAGAGGAATTCAATATAGGGGAACTGGCAAAGATAATATTAGTGCTATTATAAGCACGCTTTAGGAACAAATTGAAGTGATTCTCTGTTCCTTCGCATCGCTTTCCTATGAAGCACAGCTTGCATGAAATTGCACTTGTCGCACTGCTTCATCATATCGCATTGTAGTGTTGAATGCTCAACTTACTGCTTAGAATGAAATCATAGTTCAGATTTCATTACTCTTTTCAACATTTGTTGCAATAACTACAAATGTTTGCTTCTCACCATCTCTCGTAGCAATTGATTTGTTGTTCGGTGATTCTCATTCTCTCCTATTGTTGCTTGTCTCTTCATGTTGGTTCTTCTTTTCATGGTCTTGTTTCCTAATGATTCTTGTTGTTTGCTTTATTAGCTTCTTGCGCGCAGCTTTCTTTCAGGAGTCTTGATGCTTATGTAGACACTTGCTCTCGCTTCCAACACATTTGGTCTCTAGCTAATCACCTAATCTCGCTAGTTTTTTAAATTTTTAGTATTCTTTCATCACGTCCTTTCTATCGTTGATTTTTTTTTACTTTCACATTAGTGATAATTACTATGATTGAATGTATTGTTATTTTTATTGAAAATTATTTGATGTGATCCAAGTTTGGTTAATTAAATATTTTTTGTATTTAGATAATATTTGTGTATATAATATACAAGTTATGATTGCTCTAGTTATTAAAAGTGTGTATTTGCTTTATGCTTTGCTCATTTAAACAAAAAGAACCCTTGCGCATTGCATCGTGCTTAACACTTTGAAAACACTTGATAATGGAACATGAGTATTGAGAAGTTTAGACAAATGAATGCTTTAAAGAGGGACGCAAGAGGTGGAGATGAAGAAGCTTGTAGAAAATACTAGAAGGGAAAGTGAATCCCCTGATGAGAAGCCAAATGAAGAACTCTTAGTTTACATCATGTACTCATATTGAATTACAAGACTAATTTTTACTTGTAGCAAAAAAAATCTTATTTTCCTTGCACCATATTGAAAATTGCAGAACTGCACCAAGCAAACGAATTCTAATTAGTCCTAAATGACAATTACAAATAATATACAATAAATTTTTAGTTTTTTTTGTATACAAATAAGACTTAATACTAATAAATAAAAATTTATATATCTTGCACCGCATCATTAGTACTTAATACAACGGCTATCCCCAAATGCATGAAAGAGAACACTAGTCAGCTCAACATCAAAGAAGATGGTTATCTTGAAAGTTAGAGCAGCTTGATTTTAGTATTAGCAGAAAATTTACAAGTATGCTAACCTCTCAGAGTATGATGCAGTTTGGACTAAATTTAAATGAAACCATTTGCATTCGTATTTTTCACAAATTAAAGGAAGTGATTTTAAGTTATATATTCTTTTAAGATTGTCAGCTTTTGTTGATTTTCACCTTACTCAAAAAGGTATTGTTTGCTTGTATTGAAATTCTGTACTCTTTGGACATGAGTATCAAACTAAGTTGATAATTACTTGATAGATTTTAGAGAAAGGCCCATGGATGTGGTTGACCATTTCGTGGTTTCTAAACCTGAGGAGAAGTCACGGAGTTCATCATTTGAAGAATTAAGTAATTCACTTAAGGTATGTTGCTGGTTAATAAGTAGTCTGCATGTCTGTATTTGTGATATAACATGTTGAATTCATGTTTATTCAGAAACTGCTTTTCTTGTGCCCCGTTTGCTGTGATAAAAAATTCATCAAATGCAGTTTCAATGCTGTTAATTATTAACTGTTTATTATCCAAACTTGGAAGCATTTAATACACTTTTATTCAATAGATTTTCATGTTCTATCAAGAAAAATTGTAGTTAAAATAGAATAATTTTCTTAAGCATAGAAGATTTCCTGGACTCTTATGTGAAAGCATCCAGGTTCACTCTTAAGAGTAATTTTTGTCACAGAATTATTCAAAGTGGACATTAATACGTTTTATCATGCAAATAAACAGATTTAAAATTCGTTATTCTACCAATTTCTTGTAATACCTGGATCTTTTATTATATTATGGCATGCAACGTCTCATCCAACTCTATTCTAACAATTAATTAGCGTCAATGTTATTTTGCTTCCAATTGCAATTCCTTTGGGGGAAATAATTTAATATAGTTCAAAAGTTCGTGAAGTACTAGAAGCATCAAGAAAAAATTCAATGACAATTTCTAGATGAATGTCACAGTCAGCTGGCTAAATTGATAATCTATATCATTTTCTATTGAAAATAGGACGTGCCATGGAGAGCATTTTTCAGAAGTCGGGCAGTATGGGCAATGGTGTATGCTCATTTTTGCGGAAGTTGGGGACATTATACCTGTTTATCCTGGCTTCCTACATATTTTGGGTACGCCACTTCATATCTTTTCTTTGTTTGTTTATTTTCCATCTTTTGTGTATCCTAAAACAGTTTGGATCGCGCACAACATTGATCACTAGCTATAGTCCACTGATCACTTCCTTATTCTTGAGAAGCTTAACTGATTATTTCTGAAAATCTCGAAACAAGCTTATCCTTTTTTAAGTTTTTAATGTTTCATAAGTTTATATACTTCGATTAAGTGAAACATCCTTCAATTATTATGGCTGTTATTCTCAACACTTGTCATTTTAAGTCTATAAACTTTTAAGGACGTTTACTTGGTATTCTGTAAATTCCCGGTTAGAATGTTTTCATTAATGTTAGTAAACCTTATGTTATGTTTTTCGTTTATATTCTAGTGTAAAACCTCTAGTAGCCTTTAATTTGACTAGCTCATGCTTAGGAAGTTCGTTTTGTGTAATGGGTTCTTCTTTTTTTCCTTGCTGAAAAATGAAACTTTGGATGCTTTGATTTCTATCTGCATAATTCAGTAACCTCGATTATTTTCTTAGTCAGTGTGGCCTTAATCGTATTTTCATATTTCTTTTAAGGAAAATTACATCATGTTCATCTAGCTTGTACAAAGTAATAATTAGGTCAATTTCTTTCCAAACTTTCACCATAAGAACCACAAAACTTTATAACCATTTCATATGGCTAATTCATTTTATGGATTTGATGCAATATAATAAGGATTTGTTTACCATTCAACCAATTTTTCCTATACAATGCTAGTTTTTCATAGGCCTCCATCTACAATCCCAAGTGCTGCAATTTTTTACAATTGTTATGCTATCAAGCTAAAATAAATTAAAATCTTGCATATATATTATGTTTGAAAAGTTGGGAATATGTATAGGTTTATATAAAATTTTCAAGCATATTATTGTTGGTGAGAGTGAGAAAGCAATTAAGAACAATTTTAACCAAAAAAATGGTTCATAGGCACAATCTAAAACAATATATAAAATAGTGAGACTATAATATAATAATAATAATCATAAAAAATGAGCTGCAATAGAGTCAAATCAGGCTGCAAAAGAGTTGAACTAGATCAATTTTCAAGCCTTGCTGCAATCTAGTTCTTTGTACCTTCTTTTTGGTACTCTTTTATATCAAACATAGTTGTAGCCTATTAGACCAGTCCATTGGACCGGTCCACGTGGGAGCGGCCCAGACGCGAACGAGGCGGAATGCCTCCGCCTCCTGTTGTTGTCGCACGCGCCGCAGGAGCTTTTTAGGAAGGATTTTTGAGGGATTTGGGAGGGAAATTTGAAGGTAGGGACTGATTAGGGGTTTCCTTTTGATTTGTATGCATTAAAGACTTTGTTTTCCTAGGGTTAAGGCATCTTGAATTTGGCTAAAATTTGAGATCTCTTAGATTTACGTTTTTCTTTGGGCTCTAGCGGCATCTGGAGATTTGGGAGAGATCGATCCTGCTCTCGAATAGAGGATCAATTGTATCTTGCTATTTTTCATTTCCCTTTCATCAAATAATATAAATTATCTACTGTTTTTGAGATTTTGTGCGGATTTTTGTGAAGAATTCTCGTTGTTTTCAGAAGATTGGTAGGAAATAGTTGCGATCTACAAGTGCTTCCTATCAAATTGATGTCAGAGCACGTCGTTCGAAGGGGGACCAATGGCCGGAAGGAAAATGAAAGATTTGGAGGGAGGACTTGGGCAACTAAAAGCAGATTTTGAGGAAAAGATGGCTGATTTTCAAAGTCAGAGTGCATCCATCAATGAAAAGATGGAGGAAAAGTTCACCGTGGTGGAAGACATGTTGAAGAAATTGCTTGAAGCCAAAACCAAATTGGTGACATCGGAAGCAAAGGAAACTACTGGCGGCCATGGAAGAGATGGGAACCCTAACACATCTAGGGGAAGGGAAAAGCCATAAGTGGAGATCCTGCAGGGAGAAGACGGAATGCCTTCTCTAGAATCACTTTCTAGGGAGGAGATGAGCATTGGCTACACAAGAAGGGGTGCTGAATTTGTAAGGAGAGGGGATGATTTCGATCGTCGAGGTGCTGGTTTTGAAAGAAGAAGAGGGGATTTTGATGAATGGTTTGGGTATGATCGTCGGTGGGAAGATCATGACAATTGGGGAGCACTTCTGCTTCGAGGAATGGGAGGTTATGGAGGATTTAGGGGAAAAGGGTGTGATCTGAGGGTGAGGAAAATGAAGAAGTCAATCTTTGAGGGGGGATGCGCATGAGTGGATCTACAAGGTAGAAAGATATTTCGGTGTCAATGGGATGACAGAGGAGGAGAGATTGACGGCAGTGGGCCTATGCTTAGAAGGGAATGCTTTGTCTTGGTATTAGTGGAGGGACATGCGACGACCTATACAGAGTTGGAGAGAGTTCAAGGATTGTTTGGTAGAATGTTTTCGAACGGGCAGGGAAGGAGACTTCTACGAGCAGCTCTTCGCCTTGACACAGGAGGGTTCAGTGACGGAGTATTGGGAGAGATTTGAGTACCTTGCTAACCGACTGGATCGCCTTTCTGAGACAGTTCTAGAGGGAAACTTCATGAAGAGATTGACACCAGAGATCCAAGCAGTGGTTAGAGTAATGAGGCCTCGTGACTTGGGAGACGCTATGGAGCTAGCTTAATTGGTAGAAGATTAGAGGCACCTGGAGGGAGAGACTGGAGGCGGCAGCTTAGGAGGCTCGTACAGGATGACCACCACTTTATTGAAATCCAAGGAGCCAACATCGGATACTCTTCGGGGGACTTCAAAGGAAAAGACTGCAGAAGGAAGACCTGGGAACAATTTCAAGAAGCTCACAGAGACAGAATTACAGGAGAATAGGGCGAAGGGGCTCTGTTTCAGTTGTGATGAGAGGTTTACGCCGGGGCACAAGTGTAAGGATCGAACTCTTCAGGTTCTTACTTTTTGTGATGAAGAAGGAATGGAGGGTGTCATCTTTCCACCTTGCGGACAAGGTGGATCTTTGGGAGGGGATTATTATTAGACCGGTCCAGCCAGTCTACGCGAGATCGGCCAGGCGGAACATCCGCCTCTTTCAGTGGACGACCACATCGCAAGTGCCAAACAAGCATTTTAGGAAGGAGTTTTTAGGGTTTTGGGAGGGAAATTTGAATGTAGGGATTGTCTAGGGATTTCCTTTTGATTTGTATGCATGAAATAGTTTGATTTCCTAGGGTTAGGGTTTCTTGAATTTGGCTGAATTTGAGATCTCTTAGATTTAGGTTTTGCTTTGAGCTCTAGCGGCGTCTAGAGATTTGGGAGAGATTGATCCTCTTCTCGAATAGAGGATCAATTTTATCTTGTTAATTTCCATTTCCCTTTTATCAAATAATACAAATTATCTAGTGTTTTTTGTGGTTTTGTGTGGATTTTGGTAGAGAAAGCTCATTGTTTTCCGAAGATTGATAGGAAATACTTGAGATCTACAAGTGTTTCCTATCAGATACTTATGTTTTTCAAAATCAGTTTGGATTCATGCTATGAAAGCTATACATTTGTTAAGAGGTTGGATGGAGAAGTATAGAGAGAGTAAAGAGGGTCTATATATGATATTTATTGATTTAGAGAAAAATATATGATAAAGTTCCAAGAGAAGTGCTCTGGATAGTTCTAAAATGTAAATGAGTTAATAATATTTATATTCATGTCATTAAAGATATGTATGCACGATTTGTTACTTGCGTTCAAACACAAAGTGGTTTGATCAAGTATTTTCTTAATTCAGTTGGATTACATCAAGGATTAGCTTTAAGCTCATATCTTTGTACTTTAGTCTTAGATGTTCTTACTTGATATTTGCAAGTGGATGTACCTTGGTGTATGTATTTTACTGATGATATTCTTCTTGTTGATAAGACTAGAGAGTAAGTTGATGAAAAACATGAATTATGGAGGTCAACCTTAGAATCAAAAGGTTTTTGTTTGTGTAGTTCTAAAATCTAATACATGCAGTGTACTTTTAGTAGTAATAAATCTAGTAGTATGATTTGTGACATGGGATGATCAAGTTATTAAAAAGAGTTTCACATTTTAGATATCTAAGTTCTATTATTCAAATTGATGGTGAAATAGATGGGATATTATTAGTAGAATTCATGTTGGATTGTTGAAGTAGAAAAATGCATTGGGCCTATTGTGTGATAGAAAAGTATCCCTCAAACTCAAGCGACAATTTTGTAAGAGGGTGGCCAAACTTGCAATGCTTTTTGACAGAGAATATTGACCATTAAAATATAAGCCTAAAATTAAATATTGCAAAGATGAGGATGCCCAGGAGGATGAGTGGCTTTACACTTAGAGACATAATGCAAAATGTGTATTTGTGTGTGCGCACACACACATATATAATGATTTTGATTTTCCTATGCTCATATTTTGATTCATATTTCATACCATCATAATGTTGATTGATTATTTTAATTGTTATCATTTTAGATCACATAAACCATCTTTTTATAGTTATGCTTGTGAGGTCCAGCTGGAATCAGTTCCATAATAAAGCTAGCGGAGCGGGCTAGTGAAGTAGTGCGATCGAGCGGGGGACAAAGTGATTGCTCGCATGAAATAAATTGAGTTCGCTCGATTTAGTAAAGTCGAAGGCAATGAAGAGAGGATTTACATGTGGGAGTGGGAAAACAATGTGTGCAAGGAAAAATTTCGTGCCCTTTTTTGTTAAAAAAAGGTGAGTGGTTTATTGTTTTTTGACAATAATCGAAGAAGGTTGGAGAAGTAAGAGAGTTGCGTGCGGTTGATGCTCAGCAAAGTTTGTGCTCCGCTTAAAGGAAAAAGAAGAGTAAGTAAATTTCTAACTAAGAATGGGCTTATGATTTTGATTTAATTTGACTGATTTCCTTATGCAATTGTATGTGATAGAAAAGAAGAAGAAGATAGTATAGTATGTGTGATGTCAATTGTCAATTCAATGGGAAGAAAAATAAATTGAGGTTATTAATATAATTTAAGTATATATTATATTGATCATATG